CCCTTTATTCGAGTTAAAAATGGATGGTCAGTAGCTCATTTAACTGAGCAATTGTTAACAAACGTGTAATGCAGCAGTGATTTAACAAATTCTCTAGAGAATTTTAAATTTAGGCTTTCTTTTTAAAGCCTAAATTTAAAAGAACATGTAATCTTCCATCTGAAATTAATAACAAAACAACGTTTGTCCCTAATTCTCCTGCAACTACACGAAAAATTACCGAGGATCTTAATGTTAGAAATTTTAGTTCTCTTTAATTTTTAATGCTTAATTCTATTTATGTATAAAGTGTACAAATTAATGCTTGTGGTATAATTCTCCTTTTGTTCTCTTTAGAGTTTCAGTAATATCAAGTTTGAATTATGATTCATTCTTACTTATTATGTAATTTCTTAGTTAAAGATGATAAATTACTTTCGTTCTGTAATACAACAATAAAATTTTAACCAAATTAAAGTTTATTCGGTAGTTGTTAAATAGACGATTATTGTTGATTTATTTTGTTGAATGATATGGATTCTTCTTTTGAATCATTTATTTCGTTTTTCTCAAATATTTTAAAGATAAATATTAAAGAAAGTTTAGAAAATACGAGAGAAAAAAATACCTGTTGGTATCAGTGCCTTTTCAGTATTTTCAGAAATGTTAAAGTAGTTTAGAAAAAGAGCTCATCTAGCATTGTTGCTAGGATCAGAGTTTAAGTTATCCTGTACTATAATCTTGGAAACGTAGAGGAAACCATACTGTCTGTCAGTATGATTTATTTACCCTCTAGCTATCGAAATTCATCTCTCATATGTAAAAGATAAGAAATCACATTAATAGAACAATATGATCTCTTCAAAATTTTCTAAAACTGATTAGGAAGTTGCGAGAAAAGATTGAAGCGGATGATTTTTAGTTTTGAATGAAAGGAAAGAAAATAGTTTTAACTAATTGATGGATTATGGTGAGCAATGGGAAAAATAACAGATAAATATATAAGATGGATGAATTGCTTTGTAATGATTAAATGACATACAATAGAGATCATTACATTCTGCTTAAATCAAGATTTGCTAAAGTTTGGTTTTGCTGCAAAATTTAGCAGTATAACTACTTTTGAAATGAACTATCGATCGATCATATCGATTGTTCTAAATATATATCAACCGTTCGCATAATGCAAGTCATTTTATCAGTGATAAATGAATGCCGTGATAGATTACTATATTATGCGCACTTATAATCCCCAAATTTTATCATTTTCATATAAATAAGCAAAATCGACTATGTTCGGAGCTAAATTTATCTCAACTAACAAATCAATCAATTCTCGAAATTGAATTATTTATTATTAACACGAATATTTCATATAATTTCTATCTAAAAATTATAAAGCTAACTAACAAGGATGAATTATCAAATGTTAACTTTAGATGTAGAAGTTCTTTATGATTTTGATAGGATTCTTCAGATGATAGATTTTTTTTAAATTTAAAATGACTTCTAGATTTAGAATTAATTTCTATTTACAAATGTTTCTCCTAACATTATTCCATATAGCGCATTCATCCTCTTTAATTCTTTTTGTAATATTTGAGTTTAAATGCATATTACCAAAAAGTGCATTTTTAATGAAATTTTGCTAAAAAATTTGATAGTATATGTAGCAGTGGGAAAATTAAAATTTTAATTAAACATTTTTCATTAATATATTCAAAAGCAATTGTTATCTAATCAGTAATTAAGCTATTTAAAGCTTTTTGATAGGCTTTACTAAGGATTGTGAGAAATATATTTCGTTAATAGAAATGATTGACTATTTGATGAATACTGTTGACTTATAAGAAACACTTTTGATTAATTAAAACAAGTTTCTTTATGTCACAAATCGAATGTTCAACTATGTGAAAAATAATTTGCATGAAGGTTTTTATTAAATTTGGAAGCTCTAAATTTGAATTTCTACAATATTGAATGTTTTCAAAAGCAATTAATTATGTCAACTGTTAAAGTCGATGAGAAAACTATTTTGCAGAGCAAATATATCAAAAATTTAACTAAATGTAAAATAATGTTACAAAGTTAAGACTTTATTTTGTGTAATATAAGTGCGGAAAATGCTATTATTTGTAACGACTTGTAATTTTCAATGCAAAAAATAATTGTTCTAAGGTTATATCAACAAATTTAACATATATAGAAAAATGATTTTCTAAACAATTGTCTTACTGAAAATATTTAATACTTCAATTCGGATAATCTACAATTACATATTTCCAATTAAATGTATTGCTCTTTTTTATGGCCCTTTTTGAAGATGCAAATATTAGATATGTAGAAGCTACTGACAAATTTCATATGATCACTTTAACTTAAAAGGAAATTATAAATTTAAAATATTTAATACTCCAATCAATTTATTTTCATTCAATATGAAATCGAATAATGAAAAATTGATCGTTTATAATATTTATATTCATTGCTGCTTTTAGCTATCATTTTGACAATATTTTATGATTAGTAACTTTTCATTAAATTTTCTTCCTCTACTCTTATTTTGCACTAATTTAAAAATAAACTTTAAAAAAGATTTGTGAATAATTATCAGAAAATTGTACAGCATAAATTCAATTTTTTTTCTTTAAAATTTAGGACATAATAAGAACCATTTCGATCTTTTCCTTTTCATAAATTATAATTAACAAAATTTGCTAATTTTAAAATTTCGAAAGCCATGGTTTATTTTCCTAATGATCATGATGTAATCAGCAATGTATTGTTCTCATTCTGCTTAAAAAGTTATTCATTCAAATATGACGAATAGCTGTTGAGGGGCAAAAAAATTTGTCTTCAATTCGCTTGCTGCATTTAATACACAAATTAAAATTATTTTTTACTTTGGACATATACGAAAGTATATGATAGTTAAGTTTATTTAGCATAAAAAATTAAAAATGTAAATTTCCACTTAAATTTGCTTTAGCATTTACGCATTTCCAATCAGCCGGAAATATCGCATAGCAAATCAAAAAAATGTGTTATCGACAATTCTGCCACCTGTTTGCAAAAAAAGGAAATGAGTAAGAATGCAATGATCATTTTAATAGTGAAATGCATGGATGGATTGTTAAATATGAAAAATATTATCAATGAAGGTCAAAGATTAGTCGCTATTATTATTACTACAAAATGCTTGCAATTGTTAGTAATGTTTGCTAGCAAAATCGGTTACATTGCTCATTTATTAATTTTTCACACTTTCCATCAACATTTTCGAATTTTATTTTATCATTAATTTCAATTTTACTTCAAAAGTTTCATTTCAAATTATAATAAAGATAATATAATGCGAGGATTGATGATGAAGAGCAACGAAAATGAATTACTAAATTTCTAACTATTAACTTTAACAGATATATTTATCATATGTGATATTAAATATTGATAATGAAAAACAAATGATTCGATTTGAAAAATGTATGAATTGGCTAATTTAATTCTATTTTTTTTATTATACAGATTTATTTTAAACTAAAAAGTGCTCGTGTGTTATTTGTTAAAGTGATTTATTCTTATAAACTGTTTGAATTTTGGTAAATTTTTATTCATTAATTACTTATAATTTGTAATTTATTATTCTATGAGATGTTAAATTATTTCAATTTCTTTCTTGTACTATAACATTGAAAATCATTATTGATATCCGTTCTTTTTTTACATCCCTTTTTTCTCGACAGAAATAATTCGGAAATTCTTTAAAGAAAAACGAAACACTTTTTTTTCTTCTTATGCTTATTCATGATTGTAAAAAAAGATAAGAAGTTATAGGTGGATAAAGTATAGTGAAATTTTCAAAATAATTCAAATAAATCTTTTAAATGTGCTAAACTTTATAAGTGAAGTGAAAACCTTGTACATCAAAAATTGCACTACTGATCGGAGTTATTTCTTTGCTACAGTGACAAAAAGTTAGATATTGGAAATCAAAAACAGAAAGAAGATGAAATAATTTATAAGAAAACAAAAAAAGAAATAAATTGATCTTACAAATATAAGCAATCCGCCTATTTCATTTAAAAATGTATGCATAAATTGATGATGATAATTAAAAATATAGACTTGATGATAATAATTATCATAAATACTAAGTTATTATTTCTCGAAAGAATTCTTCTAATTACTTGCACTATTGATTATTTTCATCTTAATTACTTCATTATTTTCATTTAATAAATTTTATCATCAATAGTACGACAAGGTACAATTATCCTGCTTAAACTATTTAAAATAATCTGGCTGGGATCAAATATGTTTCATTTGAGAACTTCGTTAAAAGAAGCAAGTCTCGTTAAACATACACGTCTGTCTTGTGTCAAACTCGTCGAAAGTTCCAGTTGTTGGGATTGATCAAAGATTGAACCGTGGCTGACATAATCGTTAATACTGTTGCAAATTTATTTCCCTTTTCATGTTTACTATTTTCAAATGAATGAATAAACTTTGTCAATATGAATCAGAAAAATAATTTTTGATGATGATATCGAAATGTTTTTTTTAATAGTGTGGAAAAGAAGTAATTGATTTGATTTAATTATTAGATATTTTGCTTGTATTAATCAAAAATCGTAATAAAAGTGTAGTGATATGTTCAATGGTGTTTAATAAATTTGGTAAGCTTGAAGAGTTAAATGATTATGTTGATTGAAAGTATTGTTCAGTGTAAAAGTCCATCATTTCTTTTCTCTGCTTTTTCCTACCCATTCTTACGATGTCTAACATCTTCAATATTCGATTAACCATCAAAGCAAAGGATAATCTTATATAAATGATATTATACGTCGTATAGTAGCTATTTCCAATTTTATGAAAACAAAAGTACGTGTAGAAAAATGGAAGAAATTTTGTTCGTAAATCTTGGATTGTTTCATTAACGATTTATACGCATTATAAGTGTGAAAATTATTAGTGTTCAAAGAGATGTCCATACCATTTGATGAGAAAATGGAAATATTGATGGATCGAGACGAAGAAACCATGCATTCTTGATGCCTACGAGAAAATGTAGTGATAATAATAAGTTTGTGGTAGAAAATTCTCTCTACTAAATTTAGAAATGTATATTAATTTAGAAATGAAATGTAATACAAAATGTATTACTCCTTGTAAAGAGTAATACATTTTGTTCTACTGATAAAATTTTTTTTAGTAGTTTAAAAACGGTAGAGGAAATATTTTTTTTAACTGTTCTCGCATAAAATTGTATGGAATTTAAAATGCATATAGTCAAGTTATTAAAGTTACTAGAGAAATATTATATATTTAGCGTACTGTATATCAGACATTATTGTGTGCCATTTGATGAAAGTTCATTTGTTTATCATTTCATGATTTTAACCTGCCCACTATTTACATTGTTGATTATTGTAATTAATGGTTGGATGAAATCAATCATTTTTTAGGATGAAACATTTTGCTTGAAATATATTTATTGAGTTTTTTTTTCTTCGGAAAGTTATATCAATGCTTTTCAGGTGTAATGACAAAAAAATTGATGCGAGAGGAAAGCAGCGGTAGCATGGATACGGAAGTAACAGGCGGTACTTCAACCGATGATCATCACAGATGGGGACGATTATCTCGCAGTACTCGACTTATTATTATGCTAACAATGACATTTGCATTTTTTGCTGTTGAACTGTCATTTGGATATTTATCACATTCAGTGGCACTTGTTGCAGATTCATTTCACATGCTAAGCGATGTTATGGCATTAGCTATTGCATTCGCATGCTTAAGGGTAACAACTCATCTTAGCTTTGCATATTTCTCTTCCTATTTTCTCTGCTTGGAAGATAGTAATCTTATGTTAAAATCTATTTTCTAGTTAATTTTAACGTATTTTATTCCTTTCAAAAAATGTTCCGTGTTTAATTTACTCCGTTTTATAGATTGCAACCCATTCATCCAAAAAAAATACCTTTGGTTGGGTGCGTGCTGAAGTACTTGGTGCTCTGATCAATGGTGTTTTTCTACTTGCCTTATGCTTTTCAATATTGGTCGAATCACTTACTCGACTTATTGAACCACAAACAATCAAGCAACCGATCAGCGTACTTGTTGTTGGTGTTATTGGGTTATTTATCAATCTGACTGGGATGTTTATGTTTCACAGTAAGATTTAAATTAATTTCGGCAAATATTTTAGTAGTAATTGTCGTGATACTCTGTGACGAGATTAATTCTTTTCAAGCTTTGCAAATTCCATATCTATCAGTTTTCCATAAATTGCCTGATCATATTCTTGAATAAATGATTTTCTTCAAATAGGTCACGCTCACGAGCATGGCGAAAATGGCAAACATGTTCAGGCACAGGCGCAGGTAGGTCGACGACAAACTCATGTAACGATTGATGGTAACGAAAGTCAGCATTTAATGTCTTCCCACCAGGTCATACTTCTTTTTTCTCATATTGAATATGAATTGTATGAATTCTTGAAGTGCTTACATAAGTACTCATTTGCTCAAGTTATTGCCATTCTTGTGTTCGGTTGCATAATTCGGAATAAAATTTCAGGGATTCATATGAGCTTCAGAACTTCATATTTGTAATGATGAGTTATTTTAAGAGGGCATATTTACATAGTACTTTTGATGTATTGACGAAAAAAAAACATTTGGTAAACTGAGAAAAAATTGCTTTTCTAAAATTTTTCTAAAAATCGTGTTTAATTAAAAACGAAAATACGAAGTACCTGCGACAGCAGTAATTCAAGACCCATTCAGAAAATCCGAGTAGAGAGAAACTAGTCATGATAGCTTCGATATTCGATGCGGCTATAAAATCTGGTCATTCACGAACCTCATACTTAATAATTGAGTAGTCTTGGATAGAAGTGTTGAGTATACTGAGTATAGTTCTTAATAATTTCAAATTTACATTAACTCCGGCTAGAACAAAATAATCCATACTGCGGCACGTAGAATATGGTATTTGCATTAAACCGATGTAGAGAAACGATTAAATGTTCTTTTAGGATAATCAGTTCTGTATATGAGAACATATTAGAAACATTGGAGATTAACATGAAAATGAGAAGCAGAAATGGCTGTTGCAGGAGGCAGCAATGGCTATTGCGAATCTTCAAGAAGTTCATCCAGATGATTCTAGCCTTATGGCACAGACTCGCATGAAAGTAGACAAAAGTAAAGAAAAAAAGAAAAAAAGTAAATAATATTTTGTAAAATAATTTGTTTATTGTGATAAAAAGATCTTTTGGATAGGTAATTGCAAAACAGTAAACATTCTCTAGCATCGTTAACAACGCTCAAAATTATGGCAGTTATTTCATTATGATTTAATCTTTTTAATATTCATAGTTATGTTTTTAGAATTATCGAAGCAGCTGAATATGCAGGGCGTTTTTCTTCATGTATTGAGTGATGCAATTGGTTCAGTTATTGTTATCGTTACTGCTCTTGTTTGTTGGCTTATTCCTGGTCAGGAAGCTCTCAAACTCTATTTGGATCCTAGTTTAAGGTTTTTCCTTTATTCGTTGCTTCTGCTATTTTGATCTCATAATCTACAGATTCCATTACATGGCATCTTTACGCTTTATCATCGATCTCATAACAAGAATGGCTTATGAAACATTTCTCATATCAACGTATCTCTCCTGTATATTTAGAAGATTTACGCAGTCTTCAATTTTTTTCATAGTTTGGCCATGGTTGCTTTGATGATTGCATCAACATTTCCGCTTGTGCGTGAAACGGCTTTGATTCTGATGCAAACTACTCCTGGTTTCATTGAAGTCGAAGAAATCAAAAAAGAATTGCTCAAGGTTAGTTTTTGCAGATAATTTAACTACCACAAATATGATTGTTTTTATGCTTTTATAATTTTTACTTTTTTTAGCCTGAAAAAATTTAATCAGAACTTTTTTCTAATTGTATATCGAGTCATTCACGAATGCACAGTTACATGCTTCGCAAAACATTCCAGAAAGTCTCTTGTTTTCTTAAAATTTTTTTATTGTATGTAGATTGCATAATTTTGAGGCATACTATGTTTTCTTCAAAATTCAGATCAAAGGAATAGAAGCGGTGCATGAATTTCACGTGTGGCGATTAGTGGGTGAACGAATTATCGCTACAGTGCACATCAAATTCGCTGATCTTAAAGCATATTTGGCAGCTGCTGATGAAATTCGTACACTGTTTCATAATAATTGCATTCACAGCACTACTATACAACCGGAATTCTCGGAGGTATATTTCTATCTTTTTCTAAATGAATTCTTTTAAAAAAGTGGAGCTTATTTAGTATTTCTTTCTATATCTTGCAGCAATATATCATACGTTCTTATATACTTGTCTCCAAACTCTTGTTCTCTTGTATATGCACCATGAACACTAGTTTCTTGATTCAAATGAAAGAATAGGTGAACTCTCTACTGATGTAAGTGCACATTATTGTTTAGATGACAAGCGCTCTGGGAAGAAATGGCACTAATTGCGCATTAGCTTGTCCGCCCGAAAACTGCAAAAGAA